ATATACAGCTTCTCTGTCACTGATAGCTAATAAATTCCTTCCCATTAAAATCTAATTGAAAATCTTAGATGATATTTTAGGTTTCGCACCAGTTTAAACTACTGTGGCTACAATTCACAATGCATTTAAAACAATTGTTCTTTATCATTAAAGTTAATAATATGCACATTAACCTCTTATGTAGTCTAAATCAATATTGTAGTTTAAAAGATATGACCTCTGAACAGCTTTGTCTAAATATTGATTCCATTGTCATTTGTATAAGATATCAAACAAATTACACACTGCACCAATACCACTCACGCTGTTCTCACAGAGCCAGAGGCTCTGTGAAATCTTATAAATCGAGATATGATATGTCAAAAAATTCGAGACATCCCAAAATGTAACTATGGAATGGATGATTGGAGCATGGCAGATGAGAGTCACTATGGATAGAAAATGTCCAGGTGCTTTATTTACAACATTGAAATAACATTAAGAACAAGAAGTGCTGTTTCTTTAGTATGCAGACTGCTTGTTGATCTTAAGATCCAAACAGCCTACTTATTCAGTATCCTTTACCTTTTCATGAATCCCATAGATATCTCAGGGGAAAGTAACTCAGCCATAATGAGATTGAATTGCTGTCTGTCGGCAATATAGTTATTTTCTCATATTCAGCTTATATGGAAGTCCTCGTGGTGAGTTACTAGAGGATCAGATAGGTTGAAAAGTATATCTGTAAGATTAAAGTGATTGAATAGTTCAAATGGTCATAATAGAACCAAAGAACGTGCACTTTCCCATAAAAGCTGTAGTTTTATATTTGCTAAAATTTGCAGCCTATCAAAAGTCAAGCTATACACTTTGGTCTCAAGTTCTAAATCACAATGAATCATAGCAATGGCTAATATCCAGTTACATCTGTTTTGATGAGATTTGTTTTTAATTTGTAAGTTTTTCATTTGTTATAAAACTTTTTGGGGAAGGATTGTGATCACAAAGGATATGATCATTATACCATCAGTGCAGGTGCTGTGTATGCTGAAATCATTCTCTGCAAATCTCCCGTAGGCAAAAGTGATCCATTTTGTGTAGTAGAACTGAACAACGATAGACTGCTAACACACACTGTCTACAAAAACCTCAATCCTGAGTGGAACAAAGTGTTCACATTGTAAGTACAACAACCACTTTGTGCTTATTTTAGAACTGGTGTGAAAATATAGTTCATCCTGAGACTATGTGTGTATGTGTGTGGTGTGTGCACACACGTGTGCATGCAGGTGCACACTCTAGTTCACAGAACAACACATCTGCTCTGCCTTTGCTAACTATGAATTTCCAAAGCCCCTATCTTCTCAAGAATAAAACTTGGGAAAACGGGTATGTCCTTTTTCTTTGTTTTCACTAGACTTTTTTTTTTCCACTGTGCTTTTCATGTGGCTCGACTAAGAGTTTGCTCCCATCACTGAATCTGCATACTGCTTCTTCTTTTTGTACGTTCTATTGAAATTCTTCCTGATTGCATGGACACCAAGAAGGACAAAGCTCTATTTGTCCCATCGCTGAAATCAGCAAACAATCCAGTCGGGTTTGGCAGACGCCTATTTTGGGCTTGTTTCATTTTAGCACAATAAGGACATTAAGCATTGTCCTGGATCTCAAAACAACCTTTGAGTTAATTTTCCTTTTGTTTTAAAAAGTTTGTAAATCTTTTCCACTGTGCACAGTAAAAGCTGTGCATGCTGCTCTATAGTGGCCTATAAGTCCCTTTTAAAAATGGGGCTGTAGAGAATGGACTCCACAAAGAAAACTCTCAGAACAGAAGTACTTCACAGTTTTCTAACATGGTTTTATTTCTTGGACATAAAAAACTGCTAAATTCCTCATTAATTCCTTCTAATGTCTCTGCTTAAGAGCCAGTAACTAATCAGCTTTAATTATCTGACCAATTTATTTTTAAGGAATTCCACATTTTTATAAGAGATGAAAGCCTAGTCAGGAGGCTTGCACTCCTAAGAGGGCCATGGAGAGTGTTTTCTCTAGAATGCATAATTGAGTGAATAGGTTTGATTATTATCAAAGCGATTAATTGATTGTACCCTGGTAAAGCCTCTTTTCACGAGCAGTTATGGTGTTTCAGTAATGAGTATATTCTTTTTTGTTTTTCTTTTAATTCATATTTTCTTGGTAAACAATTTGATCAAAAAGTAAATGCTGTCAACAATTGAGAATTATTTTTCTTGAAACAAAAATATGAAGAACTCACAGTCTTTTATTATCATGTGCTGTCCTTAGAACTTATTGGAATTTAATTTTTTTCTAAATTCAAGGATAATACTGTACTTATAAATGCTACATTTTCTCTATTTTGTTTTCTTTTTGCTTCGAACCTAACAGAAACTTAGTAAGTGCATTAGCAAAAACTTCAAAAAAATAGACATGCCGTAGTATTGAAAACGGTAAGAGTTCAAAAATCTATTGTGACTCCTACTGATAGCAAACCTGTGACATTTTACATAGGACTTATGTGATTGTAGGCTTTATTATAATGAGAAGAGACAGAAAGCCTCAAGATTACCAGAAGTACTTAGTGATTTTTTTCCAGTAATTTATTCTTTGCATAGCCAGATCAAAAATGATATGTCATTAAGCATATAACTGAAAGTTACAGTAGTCTTCAAAGTTCCATATGCTATGACCCTTGGTATTGTCATCTTAGACGTATCATGAGAAATTACCGCTTCTGCCTTACCCTGTACATGTATGTCTGCGTGCAAATAATACACAGAAAAATAAAGACACAAAAAAACAGCTAGTACAATCTGAGGTTTCAAAACAAATCTAGCTTTACTTCATACTGATGGGGTCTTTCTTCCTTGGGTATGTTTATTACACAGCAACATTAAAGACATTCATTCAGTCCTGGAAGTGACAGTTTATGATGAAGACCGTGACCGGAGTGCCGACTTTCTGGGCAGAGTTGCTATACCATTGCTGTCTGTAAGTTTTATTCACCTGGCACACTGTTCTGTGTTGCTTTTGCTTAAGGAAAAAAAAAAAAAAAAACTCAGCTCTATGTCTGTCATTTCTCAACCAAGGTCTGTAATAAGAACACTAAAAATTTTAACATACTCAATGCACGGCCATGTTGAATCCCATGATAGTTAATTTTTCTTGACAGACTTGATCCTGGTAATGAACAGGTACTTGTCAGAATTGCCACAGTTGTTTTGGGTTCTCTGTCAGTTTCAGCAGCTGGGGGTCAAAGGTCACTGGGGGAGTGTATTCAGTGGAGACCGCGAGACAGACGGCTGTCATGTCCTTTTCCCGCAGATTCAAAATGGTGAACAGAAAGCCTACGTCCTGAAAAACAAGCAGCTGACAGGGCCAACAAAGGGGGTCATCTATCTTGAAATAGATGTGATTTTTAATGCTGTAAGTCTTAACTTTGGCTTTTTTGTACTGCTAAAGAGTTCAGTTTCATGAAAGCTTTTGTTCCTGATTTGTAGAGAGTTTCTGTCATTCCGCATTTTCTCTAAACCTTGATGTATCCTGGAGAATATGCTTCTGGCACACCCACACTTTCTGCTACAGTGGGGCTGCTGCTGCTGCCTTGTGCGTGTGCTCGGCTGCTGCCTGCTTGCCTGCCTGCCTGAGAGAGGGACGCGCATGCATATGCAACTGTATACATTTATATTTTATGAGCACAGCAGCCAGGACTTTGAAACTTTAAAAATTATTGCAAATTGAACTGCATGCAAAACTTGTAAACAGTTGTAATATATGAACCCATAACAGACACATGTGTTGATGTATAGGTGAAAGCCAGCTTACGAACATTAGTACCCAAAGAACAGAAGTACATTGAAGAGGAAAACAGGCTCTCCAAACAGGTAAAAAAAAAAAAAAAAGAAAAGAAAAAAAAAAGAAAGATTAATTCCCTCTGGGAAGAACTGATTGATTCTCTAAAACATCGATGTAAATTCAAATAAACCTTAGAGGTCTGTAGTGGGGAAGCCCTTGCAAATTTAGTCACCGACATATTGAAAATGGCTGGTTTTTTTTCTCCTTTATTTTTCTCTCTTCGTTTCTTAAAAATATCAAGCAAAGAAAGGCAAAGCCGAAATCACAAATGAAATGGGGGTGGTAAGCAAGGAGAAGGGATTCGGTAAGTCCAGCATCTGATGGACATGTGGCTATGCACCAGGCAGAGAATGCTCATTTGGAACGTAAACTATAGTTTGATTGTCATGGCGTGTGTGAGTGAGACCGCCAAATCCTGAGGTTCAAATATGTGCACAGACCACCCACAGGTATGATGCAGGTGTGCGCTGCCAATAAAGCACTTCCCTCTAATCCAGTGAGGGGGGATCTTTTAATTAGATTTTAACAACAATCAGAAGTGAAGTTTCATTGGCATTTTCTACTAAAACAAAACAGATAACCAAACAAAACCCAGGAATTCTGTTTTTCCTTTTATGAAGCTGCATACATTAAGCTTGGCATTTATCAATAATAACTTAAAATTTACTTTAATATCAAGTTAAAAAGTGCTGCCTAACATTTTTAAATGTTTAATACAGTTTACAAAGCTAAATACAATGTGTTTATTGATTGTGGCTATAAAGTAACTGAGCTTACTTTTACTATAAAATATTTGATAATTTTCTGTGTCATGAGCAACCTTAAAATACTTTTATTTTTATTCTATTGACTTTACCACAAAATTAGACTTTTGGCATTCAAACAACGTACATTACACATGAAACACTTATCTAAATAGAAAACCATATTAGATTTCTCCATAATTATAGTTAAGAATAGTAAATATTGTTCTTTTAAAAATGTTCTAGGAAGCAAGAAGGGAAATATACAGGGAGCCTCTCTGGCTAAACACAATTCCAGTTTTAAAATGTGTTATAACTGCCTTGTTCATACATGCATCTTCTTTACACATGTGTACTTTTCTCATTTGAACTCAGTTAATTTTATGCATCTGTTTCTTTAAAATACTAGATTGATACTGAAATATATTTAGAATAGTGACATATTATCTTGCAGACATATGATTACTTTAACTACCCATTTCTGTATGTGACTTTTTAAAACATTATCTAGTTCATGGACATTCTTTTTACTGTTGATGTCATGCTATAGTTGTTTGTTTTAAACTTAAATTGCATCAGTTATCATATATACTTTTTCCTAATAAGAGATTTTACAACATATTTGATAACCATAAAAGTATCCTAACTCTAAAATCATAGGAAAATATAGGGCAGATTTAATGTGTAGTGAGGGATGCTTAGAAGACAGGAGCATCCTACTAAGTGGGAAAAGTTCTGAACCAACAGTACTTACATAGCAAGCCACATTAGGCAGGCTTCTCTCTAAGACTCTAAATCAAAACATTCTAAGGTATCCAATTCACTTTGAAGCATTTTGAAATTAAAAAATTTAATTCATCTTAAAACAAAAGGAAGAGTATTCAGAATCAATAGGGGCCCACATTTTGTAAGTATCAGATGTTTTTCTTATGAACAAACATACCAGCTTACATGAAAACATTATTTTAAAATATATATTTATTCATCCCATCTAGCCCTTTGCACTCTTTCCGTCAATGTTTCCTTCCCTTTACCTAGTGGGCCAAATCACTTGGTATGTCTCTGTGACCTCATTGCCTTTCTGGATCCATGCTAAATCACCACAAGCTTGAACAAGTAGACAGTATATTTGGTTGTTTTCAGTCTTATGAACTCTAATACTATTTTCATTTTCCTTACAGCTGCTTCTGAGAAACTTCATCAGAACGAAGCGTTGTGTCATGGTGCTGGTAAATGCTGCGTACTACGTTAACAGTTGCTTTGATTGGGATTCACCCCCAAGGAGTCTTGCTGCTTTTGTGGTATGAGCTCACTGTATTACTCGTCCATTGTTATTCATCACATTCAGCAATCTTAGCTCCAAGACTCTGTGGCTATAGTAACAGTTATGTTGATAGAGCCATTTTAAAACTCCTATTTTGAGACTTGACTGGACAGATTTGCTGTGGGCAGGAACCTGATGGATTGTTCAGGGTCTGAATCCAAGAATATATTCCTCAGATTTCCGGAACGCAAGACATCTCAGCCAAAGCATAATTTTTTCTGACACTTAAAAAGTAAAATTTTGCATATTGTACAATTCCAGATCCCAATAGGAGAGCCAAAAAAGAAAAGTTCTCTGTGTTAAAAAAAAATGACAATGGTAATGGCCTTGATCACCAGCACTTTGATTTTATTCATTCTGTAAGTATAGGAATACCACTGGCAGTGCAATGCTGGTTGGTAAGGCTTTAATATGAGTCAAGCAGAAAGAGATGTGACCTATTTAAGAGATGTTTCTGTGGTTTCTAGTTTTTAAAAAGTCACAAGTGAGAATGTAATCGACCGAAATATTCTCTTTACAAGGTTCATCCTGTACCCTTTTACACCGATTATTTAAGAACTGATATTGAGACCAACTGGCAGTGGCAGAAAAATCTAAAAAGGCACTTCTTCTTGACCTATCCAGGATCCTCTCCACTTGTGCTTTGTCTGCTTGGATGGTGTTTTACTTGAGGTTTTTGTGGAGTCCATCTTCTGAAAGTCTTTATTTTATTTTGTGTTTGTTAGGAAATAAGCAACTTATGATTCCCCTAAGTTGCAGTTTTGCAAAATATGACATTATTGTGGGGCTTACAGAAAGGCCTTTATTAGAGTAACAACCAACTTTTAGTATTACCATTCAAATGACTGTGTGCTTTTAGTTCTCCATCTCTATCCTCTGCATAGGCCTTGTGTGGGTCTTTCACTAAGGTCTGAGCACATGAACAAAGACTGCATATGTCCCTTTGTGTTCTAACTCACCAGAAAGTTAGCAGCCTGCTTCCCATAAACATGTTGTTGTCTCCTTAAAGAAAGTGACTGCCACCATCATTGTCAAAAAAAAAAAATCTCTCTACACTCTCCTAATACCTCTCACATAAAGGGTATATTGGAGTATTCTGATTTTTCATTAGCATAGAGACATTATGATGGTAAGCAAAATGATAGAGAATTTCTATATAACTTTAAATCACTATGTTCAGGTTCTAAAGGGCCTTGTAATAACAACAAAACTCTACTGAAAATGCCTACTGCCATTTCATTTTTGATTAACTTTCCTTAAAGCCATATCCACAGCTATTTGTGAAATTTGAAAACACAAAAATGTATATAATTATATCATTTATTCAGGAACATTCATTGTGTATTGTTTGGCATTACAGCATGTTGTGTGAGTCTCCAAATTTCTTCCAGCTCCCGAAGGTCATTTGTAAAGTTAATTCAAGATGGCAGCCCTTTTCACAAACTCCTTTTGCATCTTAAAAAAGAATAGAAGCAAGTGAAACTCTGAGAAACAGAGGTACCTGCATGTAATCTCACTTACAGTTACTTCACTAGAATGAAGCAAAGCACTGTGGGAAATGCTGAATCTACCTTAGCCAGTAACCAGTTTGTAACAGACTCAGTCCTAGGAAACACAAGCGGAATGCAAAGGACTTGTCCAGAAAAGACACTGGGATAATAAAGGTAGGAATTAGGGCTGAAAACAAGGATGGAACAGGAGAGCACATGACACAATGTGAAGAAACAATATTAACCATTTCCTTGAAAAAAGAAAAAAATAATTGCATTTTATTGAATGTGATTGAAATGATGAATCTCAAACTTCCTTTGTTTAGACTCCAACTGGGAGTCTATGGGGATGAGAACTCAGCAGCTTCATGCTATTTGCCTACCACCTGAAGAGTACCTAGCAGTTAGTGAGCTTCCAGTATAAATGGCCAACTAAATCTTTTGAATGAGGCTGCCAATCTGAAATTTTTTTCTTATATAGAGAAACTCCAAATAAATAAAAGTTTGCTATAATAAATATCTTGTTATTAAATGATGATAAGAACATGTTAATACTATCAAAGCAATTTTCCAATAATTTCTATATGAACCCAAAAGTCTGTTAAAATTTCTTATCAATAATCTACTTAATAATGGATTGAATTCTGATATAAAAAGATTCATACAAACAATAATTACAGTTTATCAGGTACTTCCTATGTGCCAAGGAGCTATTGTTCATATGCAAATACATGAAAATGCTCTTGCACTAAGAATTTAATATTTTCAACAACTTCATAATGTAGATTCTATTGTTTTCCTAGCATATAGATGAAGAAACTTAGACTCATAATGTGCACAGTAGATAGTCTTTTCTATAGAAGACTTTAAGTTATACACCTTATAATTGTAATTTAATTCAGAAAAAAAACTTTGTGAGAGATTTTAGCCATCTTATATAGAGAGAGTAAATGAGGTATTTAAAAATGAAATGGTTCGAAGTTGCAATTGCATAAGCAGAGCCTTATTAGGGCAATTTGTTGAAAAGAACCGATTTCCATTAGATGCACATAAGCAGTGCCCATTGTTACAGACATATTGTTCCCATCATGCCCTCTTGACAGATCATGGGTCTATTATTATAATATTGGTTCCATTTGGCCCATTTTTTTCCTAACTGCAGCTGTCTCATGGAGGACATGCATTTGTACCATTATGTGGCTTAGTTTTAGGCCCAGATCAGTATGCTTTTTAATGTTTAAATGAATATGATTTTTTTCTATTCCATTTTGGTTTTCTCTTCTAATTCAATTCTCTGAAAAACAAATGCAAAATAGTGAGGTCAAACTGGAAGAAAACAATCATATTTTGCATCTCATTGTCAGTGGATGTGCAAATGCAGACAGCAGCCACAGCCTCCCAGCACTACCTGTTTTGCAGGCAATAGAGAGGATATCAGTGGGGAATGGCAAAGTAAAGCTAACAGGCTTCTGGAAGGTCCTTGTTGCTGGCTGCTCTGAGTCCAGTTTTTAAGTTTTGTAAATTATTTTTCTAACGTAGCACTGTTGTGTGTGGGGTAGAAGGCACTGCTTGTCCCTAGGAATCAGCTATTGTAGGCTTAGAAATATCTTACAAATTGAACTAATTTTCATCAAGCTCTTGACCAGACATTTGTGTTCTTGTGGAAGTCAGTGGATGCAAACTGGAAAAAGAAAAGGAGAGCGAGTGAGCATGCATTCTGTCTTTTCAGCACTGTCATTTCTCACTGTAATGAGCACAAAAATAATTGGAAAACTGGGCTATCAGTAAAAGGACACACTTCAGTGTGCGTCAGAGAATTATTTTACAGGACCAACTTTAATCTTTAAATGTGATTGTAGATAATTTGTGGTACCATCTGTCCATTTGGAATTGTTTTAGCCTTTTCTGTCCTTATACAGTGAGTGCTGCTGTGTTTAACATTACCATTTGATATTTTACACATTTAATTTCTGTTCTGCTGTGTGGTCCTTGGGGAATGAAACCCTAGTGCTACATGAGAGAGACAAAGTATTGATCAGTTAACATTTCAGCTACATTTATGTATGTCGCAAAATTAATGAAAATGCCAGACAAAAAATGTCAGCATGCACAAAGAGGTAGAATTTAAATTTGATACTTGAATGAAAAGTCTTAAGATATGCATTATCAAAAATGTCCTCTTGCCTTTAAAGTACAATTCTGCACAGACTAACTAGCAGGAAACACATATTTTACTTAGAGGAACAGTGAACATGAATTATGACAAGATACAGCTCCTCATAGCACCTTGTATAGCAAAATTGCATGTTTGAATGCATAACTGGTAGCCGTAAAATGTATTTGTTTCTGTTCATATCTGAGAGGAGCTGTTGGCTTCAACCCTCTATCCTGACCAACCCAGGCAGGCTTTCTAGTAAGACGCTGGCCCTAGTTTTGCCTCTCTATCTCTGTATTTCTGTGTGACTCTCCCTGTCTGTCTATCTCTGTGTGTCTCTCTCTCTGCCTCTTTATGTTTCTCTGACTCTCTGTGTGTGTCTCTGTCTCTGTCTTTCTCTGTGTGTGTGGGAGTGAACAGATTTCTGTATATAGTAATTCATTGAAGACACTGGATTATTATTCATTCCTTTCTGGGCATTTTCAATTGCCTGCTTTCCTTTGCTTCTGGACAACTTGTGTTCCCTCTTCTTTACAAAAGTCCCCATTTTTGTATAGGATCACACTGGGGCCACAGGTTTTTTTTTGTTTGTTTGCTTTTTCTTTTTTTTTTTTTTCAGAAAAGCTGGACCATTGTGGAGGTAGAGAGAACAAACAGGGATGATACAAGCATAGAGTGACATGTGGGAGGTATGTGTAGGCAAATGTTCAAAATTAAAAGTAAAAAATGAAGAAACCACAGGCAAAAAGGAGGACCCGCCCTTGGGAGGCGATGGGAATAAAGGGCAGTGTCCTGAAGACAGAGGCAGCCAGCAGGCTTTACTGTGTGCTTCCTGTATAGAAAGTCTGCTGCTGTTAAACAACTTAAAGATTTCTCTAATAAGTATTACAAGCAATAACAACATTGTAAGCGGCTTTCATAAGGACTGAAAAAGCCATGATACTCAAGGAGAAAAACCAATGTGAAAATGAAGGCATCTCTGCATCGCTTGTGGTTGGAGTCTGAGCATACATAGTGGCTAGAGGATACAAAGGTGTCTCTGCATCACTTGTGGTCCAAGTCTGAGCATCCATAGTGGATGTAGGGTATAGGATAATTATGCTGGATATAGTGAAAAGCACTTCACATTTACAGCATTTGGAGAATTTAATAGACTCCAGTAATACCACACCAATGATATTATGGCAATTTTCAAATTATTTTTATAGGAGCTTTTTGGTTGCTACAATTATTTTCTTAGAGTTAGCAAAAAATGGAAATGTTCCAGGTACAAATTTTATTGCTTTTTCTCACAGAAACAAAATTTAAGACCTGAAAATCAAAAGAAATAAGCACCAATGAAACATAATGTACTACTAACAGTCTGTGTGCTCATGAATTTTTCTTAAATTATATATCGAAATTTCCAAGCCCTTTCACCCACCATTCATAACACATGCTTTCCCCTTCAGTAAACTTACACAATTTAGAAAACAATACCTACAATTGATATAAATTTTACATTACATTTGACTTCCCTTCACTACTGAAGGAAGAAAAACACTTGCCTAGAATTTCATTGATTTAGGAAATCATATACCTCTAAAGTTGCTTAAAATTCCTTTACATAGTCATAGATGTTGACCTTAAGAAATTTCTAACAAGTACGCTAAATGCACACTTCACTTGGAAAATTGATAATCCAAGTACATATCCCCATCACCCTAAATTTATCTTCAAATATTGTCCTTGATTATATAAAAAGTTACAGTTGTGTTTTCTTTCACAAACAATGAGTATAAATTCTTACAATTGCAAGAACATCCTGGCAAAAGCTATAATTTAGAAGATGTAGAGTGTCCTAGGATCCTGTCTAGAGGAGATGCTGTAGGTCTGTGTGTGTGGTTCATACACACAGTCATTGTCCCTCTGCTCTGTAGTGTTATATATTTTATAGTAACCTAGCATGTCGTCAGATCCATGTCTTTCCCCTGGTGCCCTTTTTTGTTTACTTTAATAGATATCCACAAAGGGACTTTCTGGTCTTTGAGGGAATTGATCACATAAGCCTCAGATCTGTAATGCTTTGAAAAGTATATTCCTCTTACATTTTGTTTTATATTTACAGTAGCAAGAATTGAATCCTCAAGGAAGGTCACACTCAGGCTTTCTATAATTCAGCTCTACCTCCTTTTTCCTCTAATGTGAACAGTGCCATGCTATTAGCTAGGAAAGCTTTATTGTGGGGAGGAATGATAAAACCATTTCACCTTTGCCAAGGTGTCTGTTGCTATTCTGTAAGTATGGAAGCATTAACTAACATAAGTCCAAGAGGCCACCTTCTCATGAGCTTTTGAGTTGGGTGGTGGAGTTCATACCCCAAAGCTCACTCTTTCAGTTTGCTTATTTTTTTCCTGTTTGAGTGTTGTACCTTTTCACCTTTTATTAATTAGTAAGATCCCTCAAGATCACTGTTTGCAACTGAACTATCAATCAAAAATATTTTAAATAATGAATAAGAAATACCTGTCTCTAGATACTTAAATCAATGTTCTTTCCCTCTGAGTGTCTACCTACCTTCAAATTTAAATTTAGGGACATACTTGTTGAAAGTAGTGACCCATTTTTACTATAACCCACTATTATTCAAAGTATTTCCCAAAGAAAAATATTGAAAAGAATGCACTAACTATATGATTTACTCCAGTTGATGAAACAAACTCTTCCAGATGGTGGTAAATTATAAGACAGGCAGTCATTACTTCACTTTAGTAGGTAAGCTAACTCTCCCTGTGAGGTCACCCTTACACTGGGCAAACCACCTTCTCCACTCTGGCTAGCTGTGAGGATCCACACAAGAAGTGTGAGAACCTGGCTTACTAAGTGAGAAGGGAACTCGGGAGATCCTGCTAATGAACTTGTTCCTGTTTTTGTTGTCACTACTTTTCTCCGTCATTTAACCACATTTGAATGTACTAATAAGAACTGGGAAGCCTTTGACACAGAGGGAGCTCTGAGCTAAGGCTGCATGGCACCAACAGCTTTTGTTGTGATGACAGGGGTCCGACACTCAGCAAGTGGTAACATTTAGAGAGCAGTAAAAGAGTAAAGGTGTTCACACCGGTCATCAGTGAGCATCTCTAAGAGAAATGCAGAGAAAAATCAGGGAAGAGTGAAGAGGAAGCATATCAAATTGTAAATAGGTATGTAGATGAAAATGAAAGTCAGTCCTTATTTTAAGGGAGGAAAAAAAAAAAGCAAAATGGCCACATGTGGCTTTTATTTGGTCTTAGGAGTTTTACTTTTGTTCGTATTATCTTAAAGGTATTTAATAAGAGAAAAATAAATGTGAAGAGCAATTGTCAAAGAGTACTGACCTTCAGAAATAATTGTAAACATTTAAGATTGTTTTCTGGCCCACACTAAGAACAAATTTGTGCCCTCACAGGTGGCACCGTCCTCTTAAAAACACTCCAAGTGGGGCTCAGCATACATTCAGCTGTGGTTGGTGACAAAGTCCAGCTTGGCATGTCTATAGTTTAAATATGACGCAAACCTGCCTGAAGAAGCCTTTTGTGACATCCATACAAAATTATTGACTATTCTAGAGTTCATTTCACAGAAAGATTTGTTCAGTTTTGAAAAATGTGTTCTTGCCCCTATACAAACTCACACAGGATCCAATCCCACTGTGCTTTCCTGAGCTCTGTCAACATGGAGAAGTGTGTGAACATCTTCTGAACTAAGTAGCTCGACCTCACTCATGATGAGGATGCAGTGGATTTTATCCATACTTTGCATTGTATTAATTAGTTATAGCCAATCTTTATATCTCACTGTATGTGTTTGCACTGTGCGGGCAAGTACATGCACATGTGTGTGGAACATAGGTCAATACTGATGGTCTTTCTTAGTTGCTCTCCACCTAATTTTTGAAACAAGATCTCTCATTGAGCCTGGAACTCACCTATTGTCTAGATTGATGTGTCAGAGAGCTCAGGGGACTGCCTGTCTCCAGCCACTTTAGCACTGAAGTTGTAGAAGAACTCTGCATCCAAATCTCTATATGAACTCAGCTCCTCTAGCTTGTGCAACAATTTACTGACTGAACCCTCTGTATTCTTCATTAAGTTCTCCATTGGAGATCTGAGGAAAAATGAAGGAAAAGGAGAGTCACATAAAAATATATTTAAAAAAGAGTTTTCTCTGACCTATTCAGAATGGCAAATTAGTGTGTTCACCATTAAAACAAAAAGTTCATTATTGCAATTTTTAAACAATTATATGCATATTTGATTCTTTTGTCTCATGTGACTAAACACAAATCATACTATATATTCCATCATGTGTGTGTTTGTGTAGCTCCTGCAAGGGAACTGCAGCAGGACTTGAGTGTTTGAAGCAGGAATATTTCATCTAGTTGTGCTATAAGATGCTGGCAAATTTAACAATTTTCCTTAGTCAGTAGAAGAGAGCATTTGAATATAGGTTACCAGGGATTACATGTAATCTACCTAATTACCCACAAATTAGTGCACTAAAATTTTATCATAGAATGACTTATTCTGAAGTTATGCTAGAAAAGTGGGAGCTGATTCTCAGGGAAAACTGTGTTCAATTCCGATGGCTATGTTTGTATTTTCTAGGTAGGCAGCAATATTGAAAACGTTGAATCAGTATGTGACTTGCTTAAATCTTTTAAATAGAGTTTGGTTCTTCTATTACAAAAGCCTACTGTGTACCTCAGCCAGGAGGCTGATTATATTAGAGTATTTTTTTTTCTGCTGAGTTTGTGCTGTTTCCTCAATCTTTCAAACACACACATGGTAAGCTGTAAGTCATCCCGAAGCTCTAAATCTTAACTGATATGTAATTAAACATAATGATTTTCATGTAGGCTCCCTAATTCCAAACAGAAAAGTCTGTTCTATGAGACCGGTCCTTGGAGCTTGGAGCATGTTTCTCCATCATGGCATAATGGCATACCAATAAGCAAGCTCCCTGATCCCTTCAAAGAATGGAAACACCACATGAAGAAACTAGAGCAATCAGATTCAGGATTTGGTGCAGAATATGCCAGGAACAGATCTACTCCAAACCCCATCCTTAGAATCATATGCCTCATCATGGCAAGGGCAAGGGGCTTTAAAAAGCAAAGAGTACATGAGGTCTCAAAGATGTAATGAAGCCACAGAATGATAATATGAAAGGGTACTTGGAGATAATTTTACAGTGCAGAGGCTGAAAGTACAAAGAGGCATATGGCTCCCTAAATTCTCCCCAATTGCTTAGTAGTGGTCATTTCAAAGATAGCAGCAATGAAAAGGTAATACAGTAAATTGTTGTCAATTAAGGAAAAGCTAGTATTGGACATCATCCCCTGGAAGTCCTAGGGTATAAAACGGGACTTCTGATTCTTGGCTTTTTCTGTTAGGGAATGTGTTGATGGGAGGGAATTCCCTGCTTGGTGTAGTAATGAATGCTTGGTGTAAGTTATATGTGGACTACATTCCTTGATGAAATTTTGAACTAACTGAGCCTGTATCCCATTAGAGCTCTCCAAACTGCAGTTTAGAGGTATAAATACAGCAAAAAAGAACCCCAAGAATTCACTTTGTGTTTCAAGTACACCATAGACAAGAAGAATTATTTTGTTTCTAAATATTAGTAAGAAAATGAGTGCTAAAAATTTATTTCCTGTGTTTAAGTATGAGTCATCATTGAGCTGATCAAGCAGCTCCAAGAGCTGACAAAGCAGCTCCAAGAGCCTATATTGACAAACATTGACACAATGATGGCTAAATAAACCTAGTTTCCATTAGACTAAATAAATGCTAGGAAAGAGGGCATATATTTTAATCACTTGAAATAGTTGATTGCTCTGGGGTCCTTGCTCACTGGCAAGTCTTTTCCCAGCAGGGCCCTGGTACTGGATAAACAACAAAAGTAGATACTTCTTAAATTTCCTTCAGATTCTATAGATCCAAATTGTTCAGCATAAAATTAAATGGTATAATGTAATATTATACGCCCTTATGAATTAATGGCAGAACCAAAACCATAGGGTGTTGCCCACTTCTTGCTGTAGATTATTTGAAGTAGTATTTGTTATACACTTGGCGCACCAAGTTATTGGAGTTACTGGAGTGAACACAGCTAAATTAAGTCACCTGTATGAATCTCTTTGAAGTTCTTAAGTAGAGGAACCTGTGGGTAACTTAGAATCCAATAACAGTCATGGGCACAACACAGGTTTTGTTTCTGATGCCTATAGTATTACAAAATTTGTATCAGTACAGAAAGGTAATTTAAAAAGATATATGGGAAAGTTTTCTACACTGGACCTTAAATTGGGGATGCTTCATAAGGAAAATCGTCTCATCCATGTTTGCCTGAAGGCTTGGATTTTCCTGCAAAAACAGTGTCAGTGACATATTTAAGAACACCTGAGTTCTATTTCTAATTGCCAAGGATGTCCAGGCTAAATTTAAACAATGAGAACATAAAATAGATTGTGAACTGAAAAATGTCATTTGTCAGTGTTTTAATACATTACCAGAGATGGCAACAAGGAATAAATCCAGTCTGTTGTGCATTTTAATTGCCATTAATGGGGCTTCCATTTTCAGGCACACACAAATAAAGCTGTGAAGGATGCAGCTCAAATGACATTAGTGACAAAACTGAGGTTAAAGCTGCATTGGTCACCCCAGGATAGAATCAGTAGGACCTGAGACTACTGCAGGGCAGCAAACATTGCATCACAAGAGGAGTGGGGTGCCCCACCCTCCTCTCTACTGAGAGAAGCACATGTAAGATTCACACTCATAGTTTGTACCACGCAATGAGATGAGGGTGGGAGCACGTCTCTCCTCTGTCTTACCATCAGAAAGGGCACACTACAATATCTCCTCTTTTCTTTCTGTTTCTCTCTGTCCTCTTAGAGGGCAGAGGTGTTACTGGAGTGCAGGTAGCTCAGGAGAAATTCATGTGAAGAGTTAAAGAGTTCAGGTGAAGGCAATAACATCTCTCTCTTAATCATTCTCTCTCTCTCCTCTCCCTCCGTCCCTCCCTCCCTCTCTCCTCATTTCATTCTTCTCTCTTTCCTCTCTCTCACATGCTCTTTATCTTCTATCATCTCCTCTATTTACCACTGGGGTGCAGGGGATCCCTGGAAAGGAAAAGAGAAAACTTTCTTCTGGGTAGCAAAATGTCCATACCTGGGTATTACCACAGAATGGTGCCTCCCTTCTTGTTGAGTCAGTTTTGAACACAGCTTCCTTAAGTATGGATCAGTCCGTGTATCCAGGCCAAACACATGTCCAGCCTTGAACTAAGAGGTAAAGTAGGTATGGGGTGATTTCTGGTGCCTCTTGTCTGCAAATACATTTTCAGATCTGTCAAGAAACAGTATCTGTTTATAATTAAATTTGCTAAAAGGTATCTTTATAATGTTTTTATGTTATAAACTCCCTTAATCTTAATCACAAAACCCAGAAAATGTGGATATTTTTGAGTAAGTCTGATGATCTGCAAGGCAGTCTGTTCTGGGTACTGTTTCATTCACAGGCGCTCGGGTGTTCCCTTTACCATGATTGAAGAATTTTAAAGTAGGCATTTTTAATATTTTCTACCTTCTTAATTATTACTTGTTTAGTGCACCACTGTTAGCACAGGGATTATGAGTTAATAAAAATGTCACAATATTAGTGTATAAAACACTGTATAATTTTCCCCAGGTAATGATTAATGGCATGAGGCTATATTAACAATACTCTTAGTGTATTGCCCCAAATGTATTTGATTCTTGTGTTTAGAAAGTAATTTATACTGAAACTCAATAAGGAAATATGAAGGATTTAGTTAAACAATTTAATCCAGCCATGGATAGTTTCCGATGGTTTATATTATGTTGATTCTACCTAAAAATGGATTTGAAAATTGTAAACACTGTCTCCATATTTGCCAGGGTGATCTTATTGAGATTCATATCTCATCACACTGATCACTAACACAGCTGAAAAATAAAATTAATAAGCCATTAAGTCTTTATTACACAATGGTTTTTGTTCACATAGATAAATGGTCTCTTTTTTCTTTCTTTTTAAATGATGTCTCTCTGGCTTTGTTCCGTGGCTACAGCAGGCTGTTAGTATGTATCTTTATACCATCAGAATGAATGAGAGATATCTGTATAAATTATTGATTCACTTGAGCCTACCTCAGTAATTCAGAGCTAAAAACTCTGGCAGCTTATCTGATAAAATGCTATAACTAGCAGACTGAAGTTACCTACCACAGCAACCATCGCCAGCCAGGAGGTCAAACGCCCTTTTACCTTTAGACCTGAACACCTGCAAATTGAGCTGTGTCCCATTCAGAATTTTAAGAACAGGTCCATTGTCACAGGAAGTAGAGTTTGTTTCTTGGAGAAAATTATGCCAGTTCTGGTTCTGAATGAAAGACAAGGCTTTCATTACTCAAGGGATATTAGGGCTGACTGCTTTTTTGAGAAAACAAATTTGCTGTAACTTTATCTGTAATTTAGTCCTCAATGGGTGCAAATAGACAACACATTGTATGGAACAGAAGGAAGAAAATAGGGGTTTGTTAAAGCTATACAGGGCTCTGTAACCATTATATTTCCGAGGGAGTCTTATCAGGATATTTTGGTTACAGCTTTAGCACCAAACACCTGTTTTGAATTTTAGCTTTAATAACATTGGAAAGAGAGGGGTGACTATAATTTTGGATTACAAAACACAAATCTTTTTCAAAAAATTACTGTATAGTATTTGGACTCGCCTGGTCCAAAAATTATAGAAATAGGCATTCCTCATCAGACTGAGCCCTGGACACAGACTTACTTGGGAGTGTGCTGGCTACTTCACTTGTATAAGAAAATCAAGTTCACAGCTTTATAGTCTTCTCAATTAAAGAGTAAACTACATATTATTCATAAGAGTGTGGTTTAGCTTTGTCAGGGTTAAAGTCACCCAGTCCTTAAGTCATTAAGCTCAATAGCTGTCATAAAGACTCCTTAATTTTACATGTTTACAGCTGCCTGTGGTCATCAGAAGACACTAGGTAATCAAACATTTTGAGCTTGTTCTAAAGTTCAACCTAGTCAATTAGCACATTTTCTGTTAAAAAACTTAGTTAGTCGTTTCTATAATTTAATAGTTACTCAGTTTTTCCATTCTTCAATTTTCAGTCCTTTTCAGTGCCCACATAGGAATATATCATGTGTATCCATACACCATGCCTCAGGCAAAGTTCATGACTCCTTCTCCCAAAACAAATTTGGAAAAGTATTACAAATTCAATAGTTAATGATCCTTACTATGTTTTGGCATACATAAGTAGCTCCCTGGCTCACTCTCTTTCTATTTGTTATACAGTATTTACATGAGGTGCTAGGAAATGAAATCTCCTATGCAGTCCATGAAATGTGTCTCTAGAATGCACCTATCTCTCCTATTCCTCCAGCTCCCCGCTGGGTACCCACCAGTCATGCCCATCATGTTGGCCTACTGTCTGTCTTGTGGTCCTGGCTACCTCTGACTGTATCTGCCACATGTCACTGAAACTTAACTTGTGTCCAATATCAGCATCCTGGACTTCTCCTTTGTCTGTCTCAAGATAACCTGATGGTCAAGTCTGCTGCTGTCTAAGGTTGGAATATGGTCACCTTTAACTACACAATGAACACTTATCATTGACTTTGTGGACAATGAACTTCTGATTTTCTTAGACATGCAGGTCAATTTTTTTATAAAGGTGTAAAAATCTATAATGAGATATTAAAAAGCAGACAAAGTAATAGACTGACCCTCAGACAACACCAGATAGGAACTTTCTGGTCCTAGATAATCTCAAGGGTGCCCATCTCAGTGGGAAATATACCTCTTCTTTCATTTAGAAAATGATAAAGCTGGCCGGGCGTTGGTGGCGCACACCTTTAATCCCAGCACTCGGGAGGCAGAGACAGGCGGATCTCTGTGAGTTCAAGGCCAGCCTGGTATCCAAAGTGAGTGCCAGGAGAGGCTCCAAAGCTATAGAGAAAAATCCCTGTCTCAAAAAACCAAAAAAAAAAATGATTAATATGAAGAAATGATTAACATTAAATAACAGGGAAGTGATTTCATTATAAAGACAAAAGGCCTTGTTGTGCTCTTCTCTGTGTGATGCCAACAAAGTGAGCAGATCCACCCTAACAGAAGTGGAGTGATCCATCTTTGGTGCTGGCACTGGGTCTTCTATATTGGAAGGGCCCACAGCAGCAAATTTCAGTCATCAGAATACAATGTGAAGAAAGAGGAAAGCATCTAACCCATGCTAACCTTCCTGTCAGGCTTTTTTTCTCTGAACACGGTAGAATGCTCTCTCTATGCATCAACCTTACAGACCAAGTCTTTACAATTTAGATTTGTAGGTCTGGATTCCATGTAAAAGTATCAATTATTTCAAGGATGACTGATTACATGTGGTTTTTCCATCCCAAGTCCCCATGTTCACCTTTATAACTTTTTTTTTTCAAAAAGTAATGTGGTTTAAAAAGCATTTTAAGTTGCCTAACATAAATGATAAAAATCAAATATTGGATTCACAAACAATAGCCTTTATTGGTTTGTGACAAGTGATCTATCTTTTTATATTAGTGAAGCCTTCTGAACCAGCTTGTTTTTCATAATTGGTAATTTGTGAGTCATATATTTATTATCTGTCCTTTTATGGCTTTGAAAATAGTGAATGATGCCAGAGATCACTGTGCTTTTCTAACGGAGTGACTGTAGTGCAGTTTATTGGCTGCATTTTCTGAGAGCACGTTGCTGGTAAGCTTTGCAGAGAATATAAGAGAAAAATGAAGTTAGTGCATGCTGCAAAGAGCTGTGACAGACCTAAAAGCCATGTCGGTAACATGAATTTAGTTTTCAGAAGTTATTCTTTGTAGCATGAAAAGATCAAAATACAACAAATAAAAAAGTATCAAGTAGACATCTGTGAGCTGAGAAAAATAGTTTTGTATATAGTTTTGCCCAGACACAGTCAACAGTTGAATGACACACAGCATAGCAGACTACTGTATTATCAGCATCACAATATTAACATAATAATTTTCATTAATCAATAATCTCACTTGATTTTGAGAGCCTTCGGAAACACCCTACCAATTATAATACAATTTTTATTATTCAGGCTTACATCTTGTAAAGCCTCCTAAATTGTAATACAAATACCCATGCCTTTGCTGTGCCTTTTTACTTGTGTTCTGGGAGAAGGAAAGCTCCATACATTTATTTATATGAGCAAGATAAATAATAAGAGGGTCTTAAAAATCTGGCTTGCCTAAGAGAGCAATACTAAAAACGTTAAAAACTTTTAATTAATAACTCTTTCACATACCCTGAATAATCTTAGTAATCTCCTCTCAGCTGTAGAGACTGAACACAGTATGAATCAGTAGCAGAAGTAACAATCTAATTTAGATATCTATTTAAGAAGAAAAGTATTTTTAGACACATTAAATATTCATTTCCTAGAAAACTTGTTATGAATCTGCTTTTGAAAATTACGACTTCATCCTTAGTTTTATAAAATTTCTCTTGAACAATGTAATTATAGAGACCCATTTCTAATAAAAAGATTAGCTATTTAATTAAAATAAAATTGAGATCATTTAATCATTTCATAATTATATTATACATTATGATTATATACAATTAAACACTATATATGCAACATTTACTCTCTGGGAAGCCTGATATGAGGTCGGACACTGCAGATTAACACCTTCATTGCTTGTACTTCTGTGATTCTATCACATCTGTTCCTCCCTCTAACTGCCTGAAATGTATGCTTCAGAAAAGGAAATGCTACCTGTCACACAGCCGCCTATCAGAACAAACTAGAGTATTTCTGTTTCTAGCAAATTTTTCACTCATTTGAGCTCTTACCAAGTGACTTTGTTTCAAAGAAATATTATACTTAGCCTTGTGTCGTTCAGAACAAGATCGAGTGTCCACACTGAACCCTTTGTTTATGCCACTTGCATATGCTCTAAATTGTGTTTGAAACTGAGGTTATGTGGAACATCCTTAGCACACCAGCAAGCAGAGTTTGACCTGTATAAATAGCAGCAATAAAGATCCTTACACATATCTTAGTTATGTTGACAATGCTATTTGGCATCTCTAGCACGATGCAGGATTCACTCTACCTTTCAGATGTTTTATTGGCCTCATCTTTTAACACATGGAGTGTCATTGGGGTATGTTTATTTGTACATATGGAGTGACAGATTGTTGATGTGCTTTAACCATAATTTATTATTCAGTTTTGAAATAGATTTGAAATTCTTTACAATTGAAAGAAGATACATTTCTAATAATCCGATGAATAGAACTAGGTTTCAAAACAATTCTCTGTATTTCAAAATTGTGGCTTATCATAGAAGTTACTGAAAATGCAGTGTTAATTTGATACATTTTCCAGTAAATATCAGATTTTTTTATTGTAAAACAGATCTGAGCTTCATAACCAAAGTATTTGACAGTTTCCTAAAGAAGAAATGCAGCTTAGAAATAAAAACTGAATTATTCTTAATACTGTATAAGGTATATTGTACATGTTTAAGTGAGTTTATTTTAAAATCTTTACAGCATCAGGGAAAGTTTAGTATGAACTACTCCCATCTCATGAGGGAGTCTCACACCATGGTGACATTGTGATCAGTCCACTGAGAACAAGATTATTAATATGGATTCTCTGTGGAATCCATGTAAACAATAAATTGAGATGGAGAGTGTTAGAGTACATTATTGATAGATAATATTTTCTCTATTAGAAAAGCAATTTACATTTGTCTGAAGATAAACCTCCACAAGAAATGGAAAAAAATGTAAAACCCTAAGACTTTATTGTACTTTTAAGTCAGAAAGTACCTTTCAAATCCGCATGTGGGTTTTGAAACCATTACATACTCCTGAGCTTGTCTTCTGCCAGCAAATAATTTTGATACGGTTGTACTAAACTTTACCACCACCCCCTCCATGTTGTCTTATATGTCATTCTGAAGTTTGGCCTGTAGGGGGCAGTCTTGCATCACAAAAGGCTCTCCAGTGATTCATTTCGTTCAACAGGAAAAGCTCGCTCCATTACAGATCTGTTAAACACAGCCGGAGCTATTTCCATAGATTCCAGACTTTGATGATGGTCTGTGGTCTTAAAACTGTGACCTACAGATTTAGTGTGCAGTTGTTTGGCCTTCAGGATCTTACTAGAAAATCTCGCAGGCTTTATTTTGCATCGTGACCCAAGATTGGTTGGAGACTGGAGAGTGGCAACATCAACTGGAATCTTAGGAATCAAAAGGAATGTGCATGGAATGTGATGCCCTTCAGATTAAAATAAATCAGTAAAGTTTCCAAGTGATGGGAGAATAGTGGAGTACTGAGTGGAAAAGATGACGAGAGTGGCCCTGAGTCAGGCTCTCCTTCCCATACAGTGAAAGTATGCAGTTACCGTCTCGCTGCCAAAATCGCTTAAATCTGGCTAATCCCAGTTCTATAAGGAATAGAGGAATAACTGCTACAGAGCACAACTACATAACCATACACGTTACATGTATTTGTAAGAATCTGTAGTTAAGTATGGATGTGGGAGAAGATACGGAAGACATGTATGCACCGGAGGTCATTTCCTTCACTTCTGACTGCAGTGCGTTAGTTCAAGCAGACCGTGTGTTCTGTAGCAAGATGTACCTTCACTCCTGATTCATGAGTTGAAAACAGTACGTGATGTTTTTAGAATGGTAGCTTTTGATTTATTTCTGAGTAATAATCTGTCTCTCAGAGAGGGCTGTGTGCCAAAACTGGAGACTCTTTTGCTCTTTCACTCTTGTTATTGGCTGAGTGTCCACTACATTAACAGTTTCTGTCCTAAATAGAGCTTCCAAGTTGACATGATCTGACCATGTGGAGCAGAGATGTGCCAGCCGAGTCTGGCTGTGTGAGAAGGCTTTTGGAAATTAATGAGGACAAGAAAGACCACTTAAGGTGGAAAGACTAACAGCATGTGTCTGCTAGCAATACCAGAAAGCATTTCCTTAGCTCTTAAAATTGTGGTTATCACTTCCAGAATATTTTTTTTTCATTTTATTACTGTTCAACTGTTTGTTAAAGGAAGTGCTAATAACAATTTTATATTTCATGTCTAATGAGGGGGAAATTGATTTTCTGTGCACAAAGTTCTTATCAAATAACTATGCTTCATATCCATGAATGTCTAATTCCATGAATTTTTAAAAATCTAACTCCAAAAACATAAACATCCATTCCTGATTTACTTCTGAACGTACCTGTTGATTCCATTGAGTGGAGCTTCAGTGCATTTTTCAGTGATTGTATTTTTGAACAGGAAATTGTTCTTAAGTGGAGAGGAACCAACGTTTGCTTGTGAACTGTGTAGTGGGGTTTTCAGTTTCAGCTGTTAATCAGCAGAGCAGTCTGTGCTTCTGATTTTCTAGAAATTATCCTACATTTCTAGAAGCTGTATTGCATTAGTTACCGTCTTAGTTGATAAAACTGCAACCTCTTTTTTGAAGCATGAAATGTATACTATCATGACAAATACCTCATGATGGCTAAGACTGCATTCGAACCCTTCATGCTCATGTTGGAACATACCTGTCAAAGTCACAGAGTGCAGCTTCAGGAACAAAACAAACTTCCTGTCTGTGTTGGGAAACTTCTGAACCCATGGTTACATACTATTAGAGTTGCAGCTTGTTGAAGGAAGGAGTCAT